TGTTTTTTCTCTCTCTATTTGTCAGGTACAGCTGAGTCTTTGCTGCAGCTTGTGTCATGGGCCTGACTTGTGCACACTCTTTTGTACTTCTTACACATTGCTGGATCTCGTTGGGATTGGTGGATATACACGTCTGTATTTGCTTTGCTCGTTCTCCATCTATCATTCATAGTTATTCTTATCTTGTATACTCACATATATCAGTTCTCCATCACACGCATGTCCATTCTTATCTTTTGTTGTGCCTCACTGAGGAGAAGGAACGTCCGAGAGACGGAATAAAATCATACACATTACAAAGTAACAAGCCATAGTACGGGGAAGAAAAAGTGCAAATGCCAGGTAAAGGATGAAATGATGTGGTGAGACATGACCCGGCAACCAACAACGAAGCACCTGAGAAGGCCGAAGGTGACGGACTTAACAATTGCAGGGCTCGTTCGCTCCGGCGGCGTTGGCTTGCTTGTTGAGGTCGACACCGCCTGGTTTGCCCGATGCACCGGGACGAGCGGCGCCGCCCCGCGCTGACGGTGGTGCAGTCAGAGGGAGCTTCTTCGCTGCAACGGTCATCATAATCAATTACGGTCGAATGTGAGATATTGATACCACTCACCGATCGCTGTGAAGATATCAGCGACACCCTCGCCTGACTTGGCACTTGTCTCGCCCCACATCAACCCTTCCTCGTCAGCGTACTTCTTCGCTTCTTCCTGCGAAACCTGGCGCCGTGCAGACAAGTCTGACTTGTTGCCGCAGAGGGCAATTACAATTGAGGGATCAGCCTGGCGCTGAAGTTCTCGTATCCATGATCGTGCTTTCTCCAAGGAAGCAGTTTGCGTGATGTCATAAACAACAACGGCACAGTTGGCGTTGCGATAGTACATGGGTGCCTATCAAGGTATGCGGAGGTGAGTTGAAGTCCATGTCCTGATGCCGGCAGGTGCGTACCAATGACTGAAAAGGAGTGGTGAGTCAAAACAGTAACGGCTCCACAGTATGCAACTGCTCACCTTGTATCGTTCCTGACCAGCAGTATCCCTAGTTCCGAAAATGAGCTTCAGACCACCAGCTATCGACGACGGACATACCAGATCTCAAACTTCACAGTCGTACCATCATCCAAGGAAACCGTTTGGGTCAGGAAGGCAGCTATGGTGTTATGATGAGCTGGGTAGTTCACACGAGAAGGGGTTTGAGCCAAGCATACCTCCGATGGTGCTCTCCCGGTAGTCATCAAACTGGTCCTTGACGAATCGCAATACCAAACTACAGTAGCTCCGTCATGTTGCATCATAGTCGTGGTGAAGATGGCGGTGCATACCTCGACTTTCCGACCGCAGATTCGCCTGAAGCTGGGATGAGACAACGAACGCAACAGAATCAAAGGCCTTTGCTCACCCAGAAGGACGAGTTTGAATTGAAATTGTTTGGACATGATCGCGGGGAGGTGGAGGGGGGAGTGAGGAGGGCGTGCCAAGGGTGTGCTGCTGTCGGCGTATCCGCGCAGCCACACTCTTGTGGCCACACACACGTGATATATTCCCACGCTGCGGTGGAAATTTACGGCTCGGCCACGACTGTTGTTTTCGTTGAACTTTTTGCTTTCTCCCTCTTCAACAACCGCTGCGCTCCCCAACCTCATAATTGTGTTTGCAACAACAAGAGTTGTATCGCGAAGTTCCGACGCCCAGACTCCTCGTTACCCCCTCCGAATCAGTATCCCTGCTAAGAAGTCCATCCGTACACTGAAAGCGAACGGTCTCCGTGAAGCATGAACCGCCATCATCCCTACGGCGGAGGATACGATGGTGGAGGCAGAAGAGGAGGCCCACCCGGCGGCTTTGGGCCCGACAGATCACATCGCTTCAACGATAGAGGCGGCCCCTCTCGAGGGAGAGGTTTCGGCCGCGGTCGTGGGGGACCCCACTACGGTGGAGGCTACGACAACGCCCCCCTTCCCTATGAGCAAGGTCCACCACAGGGAGACATGGGGGGTTACAACAGCTACGAATCAGGTCCACCCCAAGACAACTATTACCAGAATCAAAATGGCAGTTTCAACGGAGGAATGCCCGCCCAGTATGGCTCCTCAGACATGTCTGGTGGTTACGATCAGGGCTACGGAAATCATGAAGGTGCGCTTGGAAGTCATGTTGTGATTTAAGTCCGTGTTGGAGTTCAGGCCTATGAGTGCGAAGTGGCATTGCAAGTGAAACCTCAGTCGAGCCCGGTCAGCGAGCATGTCAATGTGTGAGCCCAAACCATGGACTTCTCGTTGCTCGATGGATATTCGCACAAAGTGAAGGCCAGCACACAACCTGAGAAGCATATACTCAAACTTCTCTGACGCGTGCTGTGTTTCCGGGCTCAACGCGGGAGTGGTGCCGTCTTTCTTGTCATCTTCCAATGAGGGTTTGCATTTCACACCGTGGTGCATGCGCTTTGCTTTGTCTTTGTCTTTTCTGCGAGATGAGTTGCTCACATGTGTCATCCCGTCAGACGGCTCCGGTTACTATGAACAGGGACAGGGCGGGTACGCTCGCGGTGGAAAACGCGGCGGAGGTCCTCGACGTGAGCGGGAAGAAAAACTGCCCGACGCAGTTATCGAAGAGCGGATTCAGCGAGAGCGTCCATGTCGCACTTTGTTCATTCGCAATATCAAGGCGAGTGTCGACTCCAAGATCGCGGCGGTTGCTAGTCACACGTGAATCGTGCACAGAGGACATTGACTGATGATTGTTCGAATTCTGTTTCAGTACGAGACTAACAGTGACGATGTGCGTCGACTCTTTGAAGAGCATGGCGAGATTCGGACATTCTTTGATCTCATCTCCGGCCGAGGTATGGTTTTCGTCACATATGTGAGTATATGCTATCATGCGGTGACTGCACGGTCCACTGAATGCTTGTCTCGTCAGTTTGATCTTCGTGCTGCAGAGAGGGCTCGAGAAAGGCTGCAAGGCTCTCAGATCACCGGAAGACCCGTACGTAGCAAGTACCACGTCTGTTCAAGCTCTGGTTAACAGTACCGCATCAGATTGATGTTCATTACTCACTCCCTCGGGATGACCATAAAGGTGATAAGGAAAAAGCTCAAGTACGCGGCCTGGGACTCACATACCGATCATTACACTCATGGCAGTTCAATCCCAGCAACTGCAGGGCACGTTGCTTGTGACCCTGAGGGACTCCGCTACGGGCCAAGATATCGACGATAACGAAGTTCGTCGCAAGTTCCAACAGTTTGGCGACGTCAAATCTGTACGCCCTGCTAATGAGCGACCAGAGTACGTGTACCCACGAAGTCGTCACGAGATGATCTCTAAACACCCTTCACAGCCAACGCTATGTCGAGTTCTTCGACACCCGTGTATGCTTCACTTTTTTCGCATCTCGTGTTGTGGTCTTACCGACAGCATAGGCATCCGACGAGGCGCATGATCGACTCAGACACCAAGGTTTGCAAGATGGCGTCATGGAAATTGCTTTCGCAGGGGACAACAGCATCATGGATCCTTCCAAGTACGTTTGACTTCATCATCCACTCTTTCGCGCGAGCTCTGAGGCGCTTTCAGGTTTCATGACAGAGGGCCTAGCCATGCTTCGCGTGAGTGGGATGACTATGCTCCTCGAGGTGGTCGGGGAAGAGGCCGGGGAAGAGGTCGCGGTGGTCGTGGCGGTGGCGGGGGATGGGGTAGCGGTGGCGGAGGAGGTGGCGGAGGAGATGATTGGGATCACAGAGGAGGCGGTGGTGGTGGACGCGGAGGCGGAGATTGGGGGCGCGATCGGGATCGAGGCCGTCCTTTCGAGGACGAGTACGGCAGAGAAATTCGTCCAGGATTCGATGACCGATTTGACGGCAGAGGGGGTGGCTACGACAACAGAGGAGGTGATTATGGTGCTCCACCAGGCCCTCCACAGCCAGGACCGTCTGGCTACAATGGAGGGCCTCCTCCACCGTTTCGAGGTGGTGGTTATGATGCTCCTCCTGCCAATATTCCTCCACCACCTCTTCCTCCTGCACAAGTGAGTCATATCACTAGGCGGTGTCAAATGCCTATCTAATGCATTGTCTTTGCAGGCTGAAGATCGGCTCTCACAAGCGAAGCAAGTGCAACAGGTAAATTGTCTATCTCGACCCCACTTGGCCTGGTATTCACACCTTTGCGTTAGCTTCTTGCTGCTCTGAAGCAGCCCGGAGCACCAGCAGCTGGATCGCCACCTCCCCCTGCAGTCATGCAATCCCCTCCAGCACAAAATGCGGCTGCCGCGTATTACCCTCCTCCCCCTGGTATGCGGCCACCCTTCCCAGGAACAGTGCCCCCGCTACCAGCACCACCAGCTGGAGCACCAGGCGCACCGCCAGGCTACCCTCCAATGCCCTCTCAGCCTGCTGCACCTCCAGGTGGAACAGCGACCCCTCCCACCAATGCTTTCCCGAACATTCCGCCTAATGTCCTCGCGTTGTTGCAAGGCAGCGGAACACCCACACAGCAGCAATCGACGAACACTTCAACCAGCGTTCCTACGTACAATATGCCTCCGCCGGTCCCGGCTCCTTCGGTTCCAGGTGTTTCCGCTGGCAGTCCCCTCCCTGCGGGAGGGTATGGCGATCTTATGGCTTACCTGCAAGTACGTGACTACCTCCTCTCTACCTTCTAAACAAGTCGCTCACCATCTGCAACCAACAGCAAAAACGGCCTCAGTGAAAATTCACGGCTAATTTCCTTTATTGATGATTTATGAATGCCCTTCAGGACTCTTTTAGCTAATCAGTAGTCAACAGCACCGTTGTTCACGTCCGGTATGCTTAGCGTGATTTATGGTCATTTCTTTCTCTCCACTTCATTCTGTCAACGTTTGCGTTGTTCCTCGGCTCCTGGGTACGCACGTAGGGAGTTAGTCGCATCGTCACCGGTCGAGACGTGCAAGAGACATCAAGCAATGCAGGTTGCGACTCTTGACATATTGAAACCAAAAAGCCAGAAGGTAACATGTAGTGCCACCTACCCGATTTGAACGAATGACCTTCGCATGTCAGTTCACAGGAGTCGTCCTATGAAAGTACAAGTGCGACGCGCTACCACTACGCCAAGGCGGCATATTCTTCGAACTCTCTTGCGAGCGATCTCACTCACTGGGCTAGAAGCTTTGCAGAATTTTTATCGGAGAAAATATGCGCGTGAAGGACATATGCTTGAAGTTGTTGGAGGTATCGCGAACAATGCTAGAGGAGTACGGTACAGAAAACGAGATGCGATATACGAAGACAGTCTAACACACAAAGTCAGCTGCGGGATGCCAAGGCGAAGGCTCGACGTACTCACCATGCGCTCAAACAATCTCAATCACTACCTCCGGCACAGAGCGTCGCGACCTCAGCCTAGCTCTCTTTGTAGCGGATGCTTCCACCATCTTGTCCATACCATGCAGTTCTCCGGCGGGAGGAAGAGCGGTCGAGTCTTCTTGCGTTTCTTGAGGAACCTCGACGTTGGTGGAAGCAGAGGCGGCACGGGCTTGGGATTCTTCCTGCGTCTCGACGTCAGATACTTCTTGCTCAGAGAGATGCTTGTTGAGAAGGTCTTGAACGGAAATCTTTGAGAAGTCAGGTTGGAAAATAATAGCAGGAGCCGAGGTCGCAGCAGTCGGATGTCTAGACCTCAAGACAGGGCTTTCCAGTATGTCGCCGATGTCCAGGGACGAGTCCATAGAGTCAGAATCAGAGCAAAGCGTAGTAGATGAGCCCCAGAGCCACAGGGTATTCATGTCGGACTGGGAGCCAGAGAGAGTACTTGCTGGGGAAGGAGCCGCGCTTGAAGCCAGGGAACGTCCGCCATGGAGAAGCCACTTGCCGTAATCAGTCTCCCGCGACTGGAACCTAGGCAGCGACGACGAATCAAAGGAACGAGTTTCAGGGAGATTGACAGAGGTCGAGGACATAGAAGAGATGGCAGGAGTAGAAGACGAGGCACGAATAGTAAAGTCGGACGGAAGAAGTCTTTCGTAATAGGTTTGAACTTGCTGCGTCATGAAAGTCTTGTATGAGCCCACAGATTCTTGCACGCCATTGGCAGGGCCCAGGGCATCTTCAAGATATCGATAGTAGGCTTCGCGTTGATTCTGAGGTAGGGGCTGCTCGTAGGAGATTGGGAAGACCGTTTCGGTTTTGACGGGAACGTCAAGTGGCGAATTCTGGTCTTCGCGGTGACTTATATCTTGAGCAATGGCCAACCAGTCAACCATACGATCGATGACGCCAGTCGAAGCAGGCGGGTTGAGAGGCTCACTGTAGCCAGGAAACCCAATCGACCCGTCCAAAGGGGCGATGCACAGAGGCTCGTCGAAGAAGCATTGGATGGGAAATGCTGTCGGAGGGAAGCCAGACTCGTAGCCTGTGGCGTTATAGGATGAAGAAGGCGTAAGCGGCATGAGTGGGGTAGACGGAGAGCTGCTTGAAGACGTAGATGGGGCCACGGTTGGTGCAGGAGACGGAGCTGGTATCTCGATCTGTGCGGGACGCTGCTTAATGAGGCGTTGCTACATGGCATGTGCTTCGGAGTGAGTATTCCATGTGAAACTGGCGCATATAATGGAGATACTGACAGGAATACGCGAACGGAGAACCTTGCCCTCCTGCTCCAAGCCCCTCAACGGGACATCTTTCTCCTTGCCCGACACCCTGAGGCCTTTGGTATGGTACCAATCGTAGATGTGTCTCCTGTCGATGTCGTACTTCTTTTGGATAGCTTGCCTTGCAGCAAAGGAAGGCATTTCCGTCATCCCAGGGGTCAACAAGGACTCAAGTTCCTTGACGAGCTCGGGACCTAAACGCGTCGCGAGGCTGGCAGGGTTGACGCGCCTGCGTTGGCCAGAGAACCGCGCAGACAGGTCAGACAACACAGAAGGTGAGACGGACATGGTCCCGTCGTCTACACGTCGCGCTTGTTGGAACCTCGGGTTGAGATCGTCGGTCGAGGTGTCGTTGGACATCGAGCGTGTACGTCTTGAAGTGGGAGAGATCTTGAGGTCGAGGATTCCTGTTGGCATTTTCGAACGATTTTGCAGAATATGTGAGCTGAATGAACGATGAGAACGCGAAATACGAAGACAAAGAACGAGAAAGGACGACTTGGAGGAAACAGAACAGGACGAGGACCGCGGTGGCCCGGGGTCCGGCGAGTGGACACCCAGAGAAGCCGGGACCCCCGGGACCGTGGGGCGAGTGTTCTGGTGTCTGCCCCGGAATAACGGAAAGACTAGTGGGAAATCTTCGAACGGCTGCGTTGGGCCAAGAGGCAGCAGGCAGGCAGCTGATGGCGAGATGAGTCGTGTATATAAGGTGCAAGATGCAGAATTAGGTCTGAGCTGTGAACTATCATTCTCGCCCCCATACATAGGATCTACGAAACTGGCACGCGTCCAAGTAGTAGTCCACTGCGAAAACAGGTCCGTGTGTCGTTACCTCTAAGCATAAATATCCCCGCCTCATGACGTCCGTTTGACAACGCGCTCCGTGAGCACCTCCAGTGCACTCTTCGCGTCGCTGTCGGGCAAGAACGACAGAACCTCTCGCGCCTTGTCAGCATGCGCCCGTGCAAGATCACGCGTCCGTTCTACGCCTGTCGATCGGCGAACAAGGTCTCTAGCCTAACAAACAACCATGATCAGATCAGGACCCATGGATGAATGAAGTTGAAAGCGAACACACCATCTCCACATCTCCTGGCTCTTTGAACTTCCGCATTATCAGAGGACCCAGCTGCGGATGCTCTTCCCAAGCAAAGAGGGCGGGTCCGGTGGCAAGACCAAGATGCAAATCGGCGCCTCCAGGTTTGCCCATGCTACCATCTGCAGCCTCGTAATCTAGGATATCGTCGACAAGCTAGGGGTACAAACTCAGCGCCTATAGACTTTGCTACACTCGGTGCACTTACTTGGAACGCAATACCGAGGTTTCTGCCGTACGCATATGCAACCTCTTTCCAGATCTCGCCTTCTTGGCAGCCACCGAGAACGACGGCGGCACGGGCACCCTTCGCCATCAAAGTCGCGGTTTTCAAATAGGTTTTCTGCAGGTATATGTTCCAGTTCTCCTTGCTGACCGTAGACAAACCCGGACCAGTCTGGTACGCGTCCCCGCGAACAGTCTTCAGCTGCAGAATCTCTCCTTCCACCAAGTTCGCGATGACACTGGCGATCAACTCGACGACCTCTTCGGACCCAAGACGAGATAGGGCGGCACTGGTACGTCCAAGCAGGAAATCTCCACCTAGCACAGACAGCTTGTTCCCAAACGCAGCAGGCGCGGAAGCGGCACCTCTCCGCAGCGGTGACTTGTCAATGACGTCGTCATGCAGCAGAGACGCTACGTGAATCATTTCCACAATTTGTGCCAGGCGCATCTGCGTTGGAAGGAGGGTCGGAGTCGAGGTCAACGTTGGTATTGCATCCGGGGTATGTGGTGGAGGTGTTGGCGGGATGTGCGGTGGTCGAGGAGGTTGGAGGGAGAAGGTTTCCGAGAAGGAGGCTGTATGGTCCGGCATGCTCGGATTCCAGTCATTGAGCACATCGGGACGCGTTAATGGACGATCCAGTTCCTCTGTTCGACCACCTGCGCCCTCGCACTGCGCCGCCCAATGCTTGTCATGCCAACCCCGCCCCAACCCATTTGTTGCTTGCGAGAAGAGTAGCACCAATAACGGCCGCAGCTGTTTCGACGGGTGAAGAAAGTAGTATTTCGCGATCTCGGTTAGGGAAGGATGTGAGGATCCAAGGAGGTTGAGGAGAGTTCCCCTGAGGCGGTCGAGTTGAGGTGCGAGTAGTTTGAACGGGTCGGGGCGTGATGACTGTCGTGACGATTCCGCGCTGGGTAACGGAGGGACGTGGTCGAATGCTGCCTGCGTCAATGGAGGTTTTGACACGCTGGGTTGAGCTTGCTGAAGCTTTGTTTTTGGTGCTAGCACGCTATAGCCATGTCGATGTGTTCGTGTGACGGGTGCTGCGCGCTGCTGAATAGGAGACGAGCTTCCGTGAACAATATTTTGACGAGAGACGCGCATTGACGCGACAGGCCATCGTCGCATGACCAGCAAGGACCGCTGTCGACACTAGCGGTGACGAGAAAGGGTGGTGGGGGTCGGTGAAGGTGGGGGAGAGAAACAGAATCTGTCGAGGGGGCCGAACCGGGTGGTCGTGAGCGATGATCGTTTCGTTCCGAGGCGTCTCAGGATTTTCTCGCACTGCGCGCACCGTCAACGTCACAATCCCAATGTGTTCGTTCCACACTGGTTGCCAGGTGTTGAAATGGTAATCTTCTGACTAGTTTTACAATGCGGATTGCATTGAATACAATATTACATCGAAAATTTAGTACTCCGCCAGCGCACTACATCCGTTTGAGGAACGTTAGGCCCATACTCAATATCACCCTCTTCATTGGTCGAGTCGAACAAAATCAGGCACTACGGGAAGAAAGAGGACCATCATTACCAGCAGCTGTGATTCGCCAATGCACAGCTGAAACGGATTCTGCGAGAACTGACTCGACGCCCGATAAAAGAGGTGGTGCAAGTCGAATAGCAAGCCTAGGATGAATGCGACTTGTCCATTTCGCAGTTCCACGACGCGCCCTCCGCGCAAGAGTGTCATATATGAGCAGATACTGCTAACAGACAGTCTGGCGGAGCTAGACTACCGGGCGCGCTCAGGACGTATAGNNTATAGGAGATGTAGGTGCATATGTGAGCCGTCCTCGAAGCTCGGCCACGGGCTTTTCGAGGTGGTTGGCAAGGCAAGCTCCAAAGCCTGTAAGAAACATGTTCCGACGTCAATGGACTTCGATCGAAGGCTCAAAGAGTTGTGAGGCGTACCTTCTCTTTCAGTTCGTTCCAACTCACGGACCTCTCTGAGTTCAGAGCCAGAAGCATCAATGGGTCCTCATCTTTCTCCGTGAACCCCTCAGACTCCTCGGAGGCGGGGTTCTCAAGTGGTACCACAAGAAGGTGCCCAAGCTAGAAGATGACACGAGACGTCAGCTTAGCGAGAGCCACCCATGATTTGAAAAGAAGATACCTCACTGTCTAATTGCCCAAGCCCTTCTTC